GCTGAACTTCAAGGATCTACTCAATGCCTCATCCTCCAGGAAGGCCCCCAGGCCACGTCAAGTCCAGCTATCAGTCACTCTTACTTGGGTATATGGCTCAGTCCTACGGAGTAGAGAAGTATAGGGCCAGGCTTTGGGGACAGTGGGAGGTGAGGGCACAGACCCTAGCCCCAGACTCACACACCTTACCACTGGTCACCTCCTGCCAGGACCCCCGCCCCCCGCTTAGAGCTTTGCCGCCTCTGAACACTGCATGTCCCGTGGGCAGAGCTTGGGCTGGACTCCGTGACCCTGAGTTCCCACCCAGCCTCTGCCTCAGCTGCTGGAGGACCTCCTGTGAGGCCCCTGCCCACCCTGCCTCACTGCATGTGTGGGGGATCTCTGTCGGGGTCCTCCCTGGGGTAAGTAGAAGCAAGGCTGTCGCACTCGCCCTGGTGGCCGAGCCTGCTGGCCTGGGCTATCTCTGGGATACCCCATGGCCCCCCAGCCCCTCTCACACTCTGCACTGCCCTAGCCCAGGCTTAGGACAACCAGTCTTTCCTAATGCTTATCTGGCAAAAGTCAGCAATAACCTTGCTGAGTCTGCAGACCCTGGGCAATGGGGACAGGGCGGGGACACCAGCCCCTCCATGTGACTCTGACCCTGCTGAGATTTCCTCGGCTTAGCACTGCAAAGCCACGCCTAGACCCTGCGTCTAACCCTGAATCTGAGAGCTGTCCTGACAGCCCATAGGCTTCTGCTGTCTTGGCTGATCTTAATGCCCCTTGCAGAGAAGGAAACACCACCCACCATCGCCCTGTGGGCTCAGCATGGGTCTCCTGTGATCCTGCCGGAAGACAAGGATCAGGAGTTCTCTGATTTTGTCCCAAGACAATGACTAACTTACCCTTTGTGTCTGGATGTACTCACATAGAGCCCCGCCCACCCAGTGCCTGCACCCCTCAGCCCACCTCCCAGGCTGGCTCAGGGCTAGCCACTTCCTAGGCCTGAGCTGTCCTCCAGGAGCCGGAGCTAGGGCCTTGGTGAGAGGAGACCGTGGTCACCTTCAGGATAGTCTCAGAGCCCTTCTCTCCTCTCTTGGGGTTCCCGTGTGTGAACTCAGGAGGCCTGGGCCAGGTTGGGGGCCCTGTGGAAAGTTCCTGTGCCCGTGGGCATCTAGCAGCCACTGCCCTGGCCCTCCTGGGCGGCCTCCTACTTGTACAGGTTCTGGGAACACCTTTCTGGTTGCCTGGCA